GGAACGGACAAAATATACGTATAAAAAATGTAGAAATAATGACACAAATGTGTTGAAAAGTGATAGTAACTGTTAATAGCACCGAAATTTAGTATAATTAGAATATTTCAATTTTTTGCGCAAAAAACTACATAGAGTGCCTTTAAATGATTTTGCAGTCGATAGAAATTTGTTTGGAGTTGAAAGTTTGTTGCTTGATTTGCTTTCTTTTCTTTAGCCACATGTAGTACTAGTATGTACACAAGAACAGTAAATGACAACCAGTGATTTTGTATGTTTTAAATTATGTGAATGGTTTCATTGTCCCAGAATAGATGAACTGAATATGTTGAGTGTATGTATCTTTGATGTCAAGTTAATGTTTCCATGCAATATTTCTGTATTTCTTTTCTTTTTCAAGCAAGTACAAAATAAAGTACAACTAAAGCAAAAGAACAACAAATTATTGAACTAAGACATGTACATATAAAAGGGGTGTACCTTTGCAAATGTATGTATTCATATGTTTCAGAATAAAGACATCACTGTTGGTACTCAAAGCATGTGTCCCTTTTTTGGGGGGGGGTCAACTAACCGGCTGTTTCTCTATAGTGGTCACCTGGCCATAGTGGTCAAATTTGGCCAGTCCCTTGAGTGACCACTATAGGCAGGTTTGACTGTAGTATAAAGCATCCACTTTCATTCCTTCATTCATTCCTTCATTCATTCATTCATTCATTCATTCATTCATTCATTCATTCATTCATTCATTCACTCATTCATTCATTGTGTGTGTATCACCAGGTGACCAGTGTGGTGCCAAACCTGGACCGTCTGTTCTACCCGATCGACATGGCCATAGACGAGTTCTCGCGCCACATCTACTGGACGTGTTCGCAGACCAACACCATCAACGTCACGCGCATCAGCGACCTGTCCCCCGTCGGAGTTGTGATCTCCGGGGACAAGGAACGTCCGCGCTCCATCGTTCTAGATCCAACCAGGGGGTACGGAATCACTTCTTTTACCTATTTTGTTTTTATCATGAAAGAAAGTTCATCTGTGTTGGTTGTAATCATAGTAAAACCTTGAACTTTATTCCAACACACAATTAGACAGAGATCAAATTTTCAGCCACCACTGTCGCCTTCATCAGGATAATTGATGACCAATCACTTTACATCATGAGAGTTACGGTTACAAACACGTGACCTTATTCAAACGAGACTTTACTGATACGAGACGTGAACAATTGATCAAAAGTGCCAGTGAGTTTATATTTTGTTTTATTCCAACACACAAGACATGGTGTTGGCAGACTTAAGTTTTTCAACTTATTTGTATGCTGCCACCAACACAGACAAACGCATGAACGGACACTAGACATGCTCATTTTTACCTGAATTAAGTGAGGAAAGATGTGTAAAGTGTCTTTCCCAAGGGCACTAGATCAGTGGCAAGGCAGGATTCAAAGGTTCCGAGCCAAATGCTCTGTCGTTACGCCACACAACCCCACCTATTCTATTGATATTTCTTTATCGAGTAGGATTGTCAAGCAATTCATTCATTCATTCATTTATGTTTAAGAAATAGTCTTGGCATTTTCTATTCCTCTATGTTCATGTCATATAACCTTGTTGTCTTGTTCACTGACCAGGTACATGTACTGGACGAACATGGTCAGTAATCCATCCATTGAAAAGGCCGCCCTGGACGGCACCGAGCGCCAGACTCTCTTCAACAGCGACATCAAGCAGCCGGGACCGCTCGCAATCGACACCAAGTACGGAATGTTGTACTGGACCGACATCGAACTGAACCGGATTGAAAGCTCTGGGCTGAACGGTGAGGAGAACATGCCTGATGTACATGTACATGTATTCCAACTTAGGATGCTTTTATTTTTACTATAGATTGGCTCTGCCTTTCAGTATTTCTACCCTAGACACAGTGGATTAACAAACCACTGCCCCATCACGTCTGAAAAGGCTATGGGACCTTTACCAACACATTGACAGAAAGTACATGTACTGAGCCTGTGCGAAACACAGTTCCCATTGGATACATGCATTTGGTCAACGTTGCATCAGAATTTTGCCTGTAACAGAATAATATGGTATCTTTTCTGACACTATATTCCAAAGCTGTAGACAGATGTCATTCTAAGACATGCAAATAGTAAGTATCTGATACCACTACAAATCTGATACCATCCCAGAAAAGAACATTGTCAAGAAATGATCATGTCTTCAAGTATCAGAGGTATCAACCAAAAATTGAGGTGTTCAAAAACTCCAAGAACTGTCATAGAGTGAAACTCGTTGACACCATGTACATGCATCATTACTAGAAAGCTTCAAACTACTCTTGCAATCAAAGATTGGGTATAACAGGTTGTGAATATGGTGTAATTATGTATATCTAGCTGTCGCCATGCCTCTTGCCTGCAAACCTGGTGTGTTATACCGAAGAACTGACTCTACTGACACAGATACAGACTAGAAAAGTAACATTTGCAAAGCAACATGCATAATGTTTACCTTCACATATGGTCACCTCTGTTAATTCTTACTCAAACACATTCACATATATGGTGACAGGAGTCTAAATCCCTCCTACTATAAAATTGCAACATTATGTAACCCAACACCAGTTACCATGGTGAAAGACAATATGGTGGACCAGGTCAGAGGTTACTGTTTGGAGAAGAAGAAGAAACTGAGCAAAAACAATATGTTTTCCTTTGGTAAACATAAATATGACCGTAAACAAGACATTCTGCCTAAGTGCACAATACATTATACATGTACATGTAGGTTTAGTGCAAGCACATTAAGTCCTACCAACATGATTTTTTGGGCCTATACCTTTATCTCAACCACCCTGTCCATGTTCCCTCTGTGCAGGTGCTAACCGGCAGGTGCTAGTGGAACAGATGATCATCCAGCTGTCTGGACTCACCATCTTCGGCGACCACCTGTACTGGATCGACCGCGCCAAGCAGATGATCGAGCGCATCGACAAGCTGACGGGCAGCGGGAGAACCAGGATCCAGGCCAGACTGAACCAACTCAGCGACATCGTGGGGGTGGACAGCAAGGACGTCATTGAAATGAGTAAGACATTCTCTTCGCTATGTTTCTTAAAGGCAATTCCAGTACAGTTTTTAAGGCTCGGAATCCCAATTTTTTAAAGCCAATATTCCAGTCATTATCTTCATACTGAGTTGAAACCACACTATCCCAATGTATTTTGACCATCATGAAGCAAAAATTTACAAATTTCTGACAGAAAATAGTTGCTGGAAAGGCCATGGGCTGATTTTTAGGGTACCGCTTAGAAAATTGAGGACTCATCTCGGGGCTTGTTTCTGCAGTTTTAAATGCTCAAAATATGAAATTTTTATGTAAATGTGCTAATGTGAAGCAGTAGATCTCAATATCACAAAGATTGCCTTATTAAGAAATATTAACAATATAAATATAGATGTAATTATAAAGTGTCCATGACACAGAAATGCAACCTAATCTGATTGTATTTGATTAACTAGTATTACCTGGCTAACAGACAAGTTTACAATGAATCCACACAATTTTTCTATAACATTCAAACTTTCAATTCGCCTGCCTCAGAAAAGTCATCACAAACTAGGCAATTTTTGTGATATTGACACAATACTTGTACCATTTGGGGCTATAATAGGATGCCTAGACCTGGTTTTATTTTTTTTGCCCTGTCGCTTCATATTTTTTCTGGAAAAATCTGAGAACCAACCAATTAAACTGGTGTACCCTTACTGTTTAAACTGTACAAAGTTTTGTGAGGTTAATGCTTGTTTCTTGCGCACAGACCACCATCCCTGTGCAGTAGACAACGGCGGCTGTTCCCACATCTGTATCGCGATGAAGGACGGGCGGTCGCGCTGTTCCTGCCCGCTGCACCTCGTGCTGTTCCCTAACGAACTGCAGTGTGGAGGTCAGTACCTTTCTCACTCCTCTATCGGATTGACAAGTCAAAGTGCAACAAAATTTCATCAGGGGCACTCATCATCATCATCATGCCTCCGGATTAGTTTATACTAATCCGGTGAGGTACACTTGATAAAGTTACTCCAGTATGTCCTATCTCTCATAGCGGACACTAATGCAGGCCCTGCGAGACCAGTGTCTTTCTCTAACATGGACAACAGTGTAGTATAAGGACGTCCCACTCTACGTCTCCCAGTAGGGAGCCACTGTACTAGTCTACCATCTGGTTCGTTACTACGAACAACATGCCCTGCCAGGGCGAGTCTACGTCGTCAGACTACAGATGCACTCTATTGGGCACTCAATGATATTATAACGATTTAAATGCTACAATGTACAACTTTACTCAGCAGAAAAGTACTTACCAATAAGTCAGTTCTCTGACCCTTTACAAGTTGAAATGAACCATGGTCAGTTAGTCAACATGCACTAAGAATAAACTTCTTGAAAATACGCCTAGCTCACCACCCATACCTAAGGCCCAAGGTAACCAAATTGTATCAAAATCTAATAGAGAAAAGGAAGTATTTACTCGAATATTTCTAAAATTAGTGAGTGTAAATTCGGGCATGTGAGACAGGAACTTGTGGAGGCAGTACATGGCATCACCATAAGGATGAAGTGAGCTGAACTGAGTAAGAGAAGTCCGTAAATAATTTTATCAGGTTGGTAAACGACTGAATAGCAAAGTTCTTTCTATCACAACCATTTAGTTTTCAAGCCGACGTTTCGATGACCTTCTGTCATCTTCATCTTCGTTCCCTGTCATCTTCATGCCCTGATGAAGATGACAGAAGGTCATCGAAACATTGGCTTGAAAAATAAATGGTTGTGATAGAAAGAACTTTGCTATTCTGAGTAAGAGAAGGATTTTCAAAAGCAATGCAGTATTTTTGCATATGTTGTGCACAACTAGAAATCTATGGCATATAATGTAATATATTGTATGAACGGATTGGAGTTATTTCAAATGTATTTTCACTGATATTTCCAGAGCCCCCGACCTGTGCGCCTGACCACTTCACCTGTGAGACAGGGGAGGTAGACTGCATCCCTCTGAGCTGGAAATGTGACGGTGTCGCCGAGTGTTCGGATGGTAGTGACGAGGCCGACTGTCGTAAGTTCTGTATCTGTCTCCTGTAGATACGTTTTGCCACTACTATAGAAGCAAACCGCCCTTTCCCCTTTTTCATCCTCCATTTCTCAAGAGAGAGTTCCATGCAGAAAGCCTAAAACTACATCACTATGGAACAAGCTTCCCTGTGAATGCTTCACAAATGGGTCTTATAACTTTTTAAGTCTAAGGTAAACAAGCGTCTTTCTTTACAATCCCTCAATGTAACCCAAAACATCTGAGTGGTTCCTACATGTACATGTATAACCGTCCTTTGGCGTGACACACGGGCCTTCAGCCTAATCACAAAAATTGTAGGTGGCTGAAATAAGAAAGCAGGCGAGCCATGAAGGGGTTTGTAACAGAGCCATAGAGGCTACAACTTTTTTCTTAAATGTACACAAAAGTAGGCGGCACAAAAATTTGAGTAGGCGATGATTTTCACCTGTTGCCGGCTTGTTTTGAGAGGGCTGGCCTTAATCTAAAGTGCATATCTGTGTCTTTCATGCACGTTTTCACACATATTTCATGCATTTTATGAAATTTTTCTATTCTCTTGTTTGTTTTGTCAACTGTATTGAAACCTGTATTGAGTACAAAATGTAATTATGGTGGTGTCTTCACCCTTCAGTAACATAGCTATTATTTCTGTCGTCCCTTCCAGCCAAGTGTACGGAGGACCAGTTTACCTGTGACAGTGGACAGTGTGTGGATGGGGAGATGGTGTGTAATGGGAAGGAGGACTGTATGGACAGGTCGGATGAGATGCAGTGTCACAGTAAGGATCCTTCCATCTTTCAATAGTCATTCGTATTACGACTTCACACATGCAGTACAGATTTTTTCAACCTTTATTTAACCTAGAAATGTACAGTACATGTGTGTATCAGTACAACTCTTCGGCCTAAAGCCGTTTTTCAAGAGGTCAAGGGGAGGTAGGTCAGGGGTCTTTGCAAATTCTTCAGTTCAGTTACAATCAGTCGTAGAATTACAATATAAATATATACAAAGTATACAAAATTCAAACACTATCTCGGTTCAGATCTGGAATAAGTTCCCATCTAGATGCAAAATCGCAATCGAAAGTCATGCAAAATGCTATTAAAAGCCATGCAAAAGCCTTAGCACTTCTTCTTTGAATCACGTTCATTTCTCTTGTAAGCTGCGTGTAGATATCCATGCTATTGCATGTGGTTATGCATTTTAGATGGGCCACACACAATTGCTATATAATTGAACAAACTGTACCCAACCATATCCAATACTGCAGAAACTCAGACACACACACCAAAAACAATACCTTCTTTTTTTCATGGAGGTAATAGGTAAAGTTTATTGCAAATACATGACATAGGTACAAACAACGTGTATGGAAAAATAACATACAATAGACATGAGAGACAATGTCTAACATTCTACTACATTCTACAACAAACTAGTTCTGCTGGGTTTAAATTCCTCTTTTTGAGGCAATGGAAAACAAACTTACCCACTTCTTCTATGATACATGTATGTGGGTTCTTTGATTTTAGTAATAAACACTGGTCACTTCAATTTTGGAATGTCACTTTCCGAATTTGCAGACGGCCATGTTGAAATCCCTGATTTTCAACTTTGCCATTTCTGCAGGTACAGTAAATTTTTACATACCATTTGAAAGATCATGTTATCCTCAGTACCAGGTTATTTTTTTATGGTCAAAACATACATATTTGTCAAGATATTTCACTTTAAAAATTGCAATCCCGTCGGTGTACAAGCCACACCGACGGGATCAGCAGCCCACCCCGGTCGGGAGTAAACTCTACCCCGTCGGGGTGGAAAACCACCCCGCACCCAGACCGCATCCAATTATCCTCATGAACATCCCATGAAAACCACTGAATTAATGAGAATTCACATCTTCACACCAGTGTAATTAGCAAGTTTGTGTGATAATTCATGAGAAGTCTGGGCTCAAAGGTTACCCCGACGGGGTTGGACAGCCCCGTCGGTGTGTTAAACAGCCCCGTCGGTGTGTCAGGTTGAACAGGCTGGGCTAATGGCCTAAGCCTTCAGACCAGACTGAAAGTAATTTCCCAATGAAGTTTAAAAAATTAACATTAAACTTGCTTCTAGGTTGATGGCGGTTTATACACAGTTTATTATATCACTTCATTATTGTAGTTCTGTGTGTATTCCTGCAGTTTTTCTAGACTATTTTCCAGGATTATGAAAGAACATTGTCTTCAAAGATACAAATGAGTCATGGAGATCTGACATGGCAGGAATGGATATGATTGACCAGTCAACCTGCTCCACATGAGTGCCATATATATGTACATGACGTGTACAATCCTGTACATGTGTAGGTCCTAACAAAGAGGTTAAAAATCTAGTCTTTGTCCACCAATACCTAGCTCACTGTAGGATGAATTCTAGCAAGGAGGTTATAACCTCTAACCTGGCTAACACTAAGAATAGAGTTTGGACATGGCTAAAATTTAATAAACGTTGATAACAACTTTTCAAACTCCATGGATAAACTCATCTATCATTAGCAGAATACCCC